GAAGTAGGCTGGACCCCGCCCGCATGATGCTTGCAGCCAATCAGTGCTTTCCTCAAGGCGGCGAACCGAAACACGGGCCTAGCATCCTGCCGCTCCCCAAGCCCCGCGCCCAGCCTGGGGTCCCCCGGTCACCCAGCGAGTCGCGATCGGGATTGACCTATTCTGCGAGGACAAGAGAGGTGAACCGGGGGCTGCGGGTCCAGGGTGAGGGTGCCACGATTGCCTCCCTGTGGCCGAGCGGTGATAGGCTGGGATGGCCCTGTGGGCGATGTCAGGGTTGTCGTCACTTTTTCGCCTTGATTGGCTGCTGGCCGTTGCGTTAGAGCCTTCAAGGCACGCCCCCAGTCGTATCGTGATTGGCCGCCGGGACTGTAAAGTCGGTCCCGGCGTGCGGCCTGATTGGTCTCGCTGCGATCCTGGGGCGGGGCCGCCGCCCCGTGTCTAGCTCTTGCTGCTGGCGGCGAAGCTGTGGCTCGCGCCGCAGGAGCAGGCAGCTGTTAAGCTTCAGCCACAACGGTCAGCGGCCCCCTGCTCCGCGCCGCGGTCCAGCCGGCTCGCAAAGCGGGTAGCAAGCGGAGCGGAGCTGGCACCTTGCACGCGTCTGAGAAGCACCAGCGCCGCGGGCCGCAGCATCTTCAGTCTCAAGCCCATGCGGCCCTGCTGCTGTCTCCTACCCCCCGCTGCTGAATGGCTACCGGGCATCTCCCAGGTGCCTTTGTTTGTACCAGAACGGTCCTAATATTTGTGGCCGCTCAACAGATTCTTATACAACTTTTCCAGGCTATTGTTTATGGCCAAAATGAAAGCGTGTTGCTCATGGATTAAGCTTCTTCACTGTACATCAGGTTACACATCTACCATTTGTAAGTGAGGCTTTTGCTAGGTCTGCAGCCTGCATCTGAGAATCCGCCCTGCCCAAGCCCCCAGCACAAGAAGAGCAACAGCCACGACTACTGGTCTCTATGGATGGGTTGGACCATGGCAGGGAAGTGCAGGAGTAGTGCTGGGGCAACAGCACTAGGCATTCTGATAGCTCTGAGCTGAGCACAGGGTTCCACAGCCAGGGCTTTCAGGGTAAGGGAAGGAGTAAATTCCCCAGCGGGGGATAAGTGCTGGGCAGCAAAGGCCAAGTCCAGGGTGAGCACAACTCTGGTGGCAACTATCTGCATCATATCTACTGCGAAACCCACATGGAAATCCTGGTGCACAAGCCAGTATTGCCACCAATACCCCCAGCAATTTCTGCATGCTGTTGTTCTGCACCTGTCTCCACAAAACTGACAGGCTTCTGAGTCACAAGAAATCCATTCCCACCCAGCAGCACACAAAGACACGGGAGAAGCTGGTCCAAATGTGGCAGAGGGACAATTCTACAGGAGTGTGCCAGCAGCTGAAGCACAACCCCTCATCTCCTACTTAATGTTAAGAGTTGATAAAAGTACTTAGTTAATTTTTGATAATTTGGTTCTGCCATGAGTTAATCAAGATGGTGACATGACTCCAAGTAACTCTAAGCCAACAGTCCTTCAGTCAGAAGCGTTCTTAGTAGGATGCATTCCATGGTTTCCTTGGGGAGAGCATTGCAGGGATTCAAGGGAGCATGTTTGTAGAGAATACTATGCATGAATCAGTGAGTGCTTCCTCCTGAAAGACAGGGAAAGGATTTATGAGGCAGTGTTTCACCTCTGAGTAAGGAAACTACGGGCTTGATCCAACAGGAAGAGCAATTATAATGCCCAGATACAGACAAAATTCCAGGACCTCTTTGTTATCTACCATGTTTACAGCCTATTCACCTTCTCGCAAGATGCTGTAAACAAGGCTAAATATTGAGACTTCTTTCAAGCACCACACTGACTACCACTTAAAGGGAGGGCAATTACAGCTTGAAATATAAAAAAGAACATGTGTTGGTGACTGAATGGAAGCAATTCTGGATGAGTTTCTGGCTGCTTTTTATATACTTGTTGTGAAATATAACTGTGTAGCACTTAGGCACTGCCATAGTAGTAAGCGTTGTAAAACAGAATAGTAAACAAGGTGAAGCAGTGAAGCTGCTGCCTATTCCACAATGTTTCCATCATTGACAGCACTTGCTAATGATTGGCTAACAGGAAAAATTATCATTGCTGCCTCTGGCTTTTCCATCTGTAAAATGGGGTGGTACGCACTTCTCTCCATAAAAGCTCCTGAATGTATTGTTTATGCAAACACATGACCCCATTTATTAGACTTCATGCAAGACAAAGGTATTCTTGGATAACATGCTACCTTGCTCCCCTCCTCCACCTGGTCCTTAGAAACACCAGGGACTGCAGATTTGGGAGTGGTGGGAATGAAGGGCCCTGAGGAAACTTCCGTTAGAGATGTACACTAATGAACTAAAACACGTCACATCATAGCAATCCATGTAACAAAGGACAATACGCATATATTTTTATCTTGGATTCAAGGTAGATTTTTATAAATCAAAGACTGTTTGAATCGCAGGCAGCAAGTGATAGGTGAACTTTGCTCTTGCAACAAATCAACACTCAGACCAGCTGTACTCTGGGCCAGCCAGAACTCCACTGAGCCTGGAACAATCAAATCTCTCACACAGCATGATCCCCTAACACCATCTGAAAGTCAAGGCGCTCTGGATAACAGAAAGAGAGAACACATCTTAACAAAAACAGTTTATTGTGACTGAACAAGATGTACAAGGTGCTCAAGCTGTGAATTTTCTGACTCCCTGTATCTGCAGATTCAGTGCATGACACCACCACCATTAGCAATGAAGTTGCTTCTGCAGGCTGACCAGTCTCTTAACTACTTTTTGCCAGACTTCTTTATTCCACCAGTACCTGTCAAAAGAAAGCAAGCCACAGCTGCCAAAGCTTGTACACAGATTTAGTCCTGCAAAAGGTCAACTCCCCACCACCTTCCAGTTATTTCTTTCATGTGGATCTCCACTTGGAAGTTTTCACCTCTACCACTGCTTTGTTTCTGCTACATTTGCTCCTCACTATGCAGGTGAACTATTTTGCATGTTATATTTCATCAACACTAGGGTTTTTTTTCCACTCACAAAACTCAATATGTAAAATAAAATCCTATTACATCAGTTACGCACCTAGTGTCATCAACAGAACTAAACAACCCAATACTGATTCTGCTTCTGATGACGGATTCCTTCACTTTTTAAAGTCATTTGCCCTCTAGGAGGACAAAGACCAATCTGTTGGGCTTCCAGGCTTGTTCTCTGCTTAGGATTTGGAGAGAAGGTGTGGGTAAAAGATGGAAGTAGTGAAATCATTTGGGGACATGTCTACTAGAAAAAATGAGCTTTTTGGTTGTCCAGACAGAGAGGACTGCATCTGCTGACCTAGCTGAGCGTTTTAAACTGTTTTGAGCGGCATCGTTTTAGCTTTGAAAATTTCTTCAGCTCAAGACACAGGTTCAAACAACTAACACAGACGAAGTGAGCGCCAAGTCTCTAGTCGGTTGCGTCCGACTCGTCTCCTTTTGTCAGTCGTCCTTTCTTGCGCGCACTGAACATGCCACAGGGTCCCGAGGGCAGGCACTCGCAGATCAGGGGCTGTGGGCACACCTGGTCTCTGCCTAGCCAAGGCAGGTCCCCAAAGCCACTTACCCAGGGGGCCTTTGGATGCAGCTTTTGCTTTCATCTCTTCCAGCTTCTTCTGCTCCTCTTTCTGCTTCTGCTTGAACGCCACGTCCGCCTGCGGGACAGAGCGCGCCCGTCCGCTGCCGCCAGCTCGCAGCGGTGGCCTGGCCTGGCCTGGCCCGGCCCGGCCCGGCCGACAGTCACAGGCCGCGCGGGACGCGAAGGCA